AAACTTTCGGATCACTGTTAGCGAAAAATCCGGAAATCCGGATTTTTTCCGGAGCACAATCAGCCCTGTATAAATAAAAGTACTAGTTCAAAGGGACAAGAACAACCAATTAATACAGTGCGTGAAAAATGTATAAGGACACGATAAAAATTGTCAATTATAGAAGTCTTGTTTACGGAATCATAGTAAATTTTTGAAGCAAAATTGGGAGCAAAATTAATTTATTTCTTCTGCAAAGTGATTAAAATTTCCAAATATATATCTCCTTAAACTTACATTTTAATATTTTAAATTCAAGTAATATCGGTAAAATGTAAAGGGATTTGTTTTCTTCCACAATTTCTGATCAAAATTTCGGAGTTTTGAAAAATTTTCACGTTTCAAAGCAGAAAATGACAATTCCGGGTAAAACGATTGGTTTGTAAAATGAAAAATTCACCCTCGTTGACATTAATCTACACTTTTAAACGATGCCCAAAGGAACTCATCTTTCTGAAGACTCTGAAAAAAGGAAAATTGTTGCTTTCCGAAAATGTGGATTAAGTGGAAGGGAAATTTCAAAAAGAATCAAGAGATCTAAAACGATAATTCTCTAAAAGAATCCTAGAATGAATAGCATGAAAAAACGAACTGAAAGACCAGAAATTTGTACTCATCGACAAAAATGAATGGTTGCAAGGAGAGCTTGCGAAAAAAAGAAACTGCAAATGAAGTTATTTTGCAGTTTAAAATGCAAAGTTTCAATTTACCAAGTTCATCAAAGCCTGTTCAAAATATTTTTTAAAAAAAACATCTCACACAAATCATCACAAGATAAAAAGAGTTGATTTTGCTAAAAAATTCATTTCTCTCGGTCAAAAGTGAACTGATGTAGTTTCTTCTGACGAAAAAAAAGTTCAAACATAATGGAGCTAGTGGTTTCAGTTATTTTTGGTATGATCTGCGAAAGATCAAAGAAGTACTTTCCAAAAGTCTGTTGACTCAGTGATGGTTTGAAGAGCTTTTGTGGTAAATTGAATCCCTCCAATAGTTGTTATCAAAAATAAAATGAATTCCGACAAATATGTTGATGTGTTAAAAGAAAGTTTGTTACTTGAAACGTCACTGATTACTTCAGACGATTATATTTTTTAAAAGGATAAAGTTTCTATACGCATTTTTAAGAGCGCAAAACTCTGATTTAAAACTAAGTCTGTAAATTTACTTGATTGGCCGTTCAAATCTTTATCCAAATAAAAATTTAAAGAGACTTCTGACCCGAAAAGATTATGAACGTGGTACACAATATAGATGCAAACAAAATCTTGTCTTCAATATTAAAGACTCGGGGAAAAGAAGGGGAAAAACACTTTAAAAAACTCTTACTCCGTGAAAAACGGAGAAAAAACATTACTCCGTAAACACTTTAAAGATATTTGTGGATCCATGACCTCTCAGATTGTTCAAATGATTGAAAAAAAGGGTAGTTTTTTTTATTATTGAAGAAACTTTTAAGCATTAATTCTGTAAAATCCATATTATAAAGCCAAATTTTTTATGTCAAACATATAAATATTTAATTTAGATGAAATGAATATAAAGCATAATTTTATTCAATTTAATGCTGTTATACTTTTTTTACGAACTGTTCTGAGCTGCAAGCGATAGCATTTCTTGTCAATAATGGCACTAAAGTTTTAAATCCTTATGATGTAACTTATTTCGTCCCTAAAACTCGTAACTGCTGTGATAACCTTATATACAGGAGAAATTTTTAATTTATCACTCTCCAACTACTAAAAGAAAATCGTTCCATAAAATCCCTAAGGAAACAAGCGACTTCTTCAATCAGACACAGATGGCAGAACCACTGTTCTGCTTTTCACCATCCGACTCACTAAGTAATTAAACTCTTTTGCTATCCATCTCTTATGCTAGATAGCACTACTATGCAAATGAACTAAGATGTAACCTCACATCAAGGTGTGGCTTGAAGGAACAAAACTCTGCCACGCTGTTGATTTACTCTAAAAACATTGGCGGAAGATTTCTGAATAGTCCAAAAAGGTCTCACGCTAATTTCAAGAAGAACTATTAAAAGTGAAGTTTTCTGAACTATTTAGGAAAGTTCCAGGGTAATTCCATCAGGAATGTTATCGATTGTTAGTGTAGAATTTTCTAAATTCTAAAAAAAAATCCTTTTTTTTTTATTTTTTCCCCAGAAATGTTACTATTATATTTAAGACAAATTAGCTGTCATATTCGTCACCGCATTTTTTAAACTAGATCAGTTTTTATTCATTTTTTTCCTTTTCTTTTCTCTCCTCCATTCTTAGTTTTTATTTTTATTTTTTAACTTTCATTTATTTTCTTTACCTCATCCTTTCTATTATTTAATTTGAATTATTTAATTTGTATTTAAAATCCAATCTTTCGAACAGAATTCTTCGCCTTTTCCATTTTCATTGCAAATTAATTTATTTCGCTTGATCTAAGTTTAAAAAAATTTTATGCCGTGAATAATTCATTTGTGCCTATAAAAGTTAAATTACACTTTTCCGACATCGACATTACAATTTTCTCTTCGTGTATATTAATCAAAAAGCCTTTATTTAAAAACTGAAATATTTTTTTGTTGTTCTTATTACTAAGCTTTGAAAAAAAAGCATTTATTAAGGTTGTTTCAAAACAATTGTTCTTTCAATGTAGTTGCAAGAGAGTACCCATAATGCAATTGATGAATGAATCTGTTCATGATGAAAAAGCTATTATGCTTTATTCCTTTCAACAACTTTATTTTGCGCATGAACTGCTAGTTTTTTTTCTTTTTTATTCGGTTTTATTCCTCTTCTTCATTCATCATGAAATAATGGGTAATTGAATCACGATCCGAAACTATTCATGGTTAGGAGAAATTTTTCTGCAAGACTATAATTTTAAATAATTTATTAGTAAATGCTGATTCCAAATATCTCTAGTTTAAATTTGAATAAATAAAAACAGTAATTAAATAATTTATGGGAAATATGCACACACACAAAAAAAAAACAGTATTTGGGGAATTAATGAAAAATTAGAACAAAAAGTACTAATTAAAGAATTTATTAAAAAAAATAGAAAACAAAAGAATAATAATTAAAGATTTTATATAAATTAAAAACGAAATAGAAAAATGCTAATTGCAGAATTTATAAAAAATAAAAATAAAAAAAGATACAGTGAATAAAATTTATGAGAAATAAGAGGTTCTTTGGTAAATTGGTAAACTATTCATGGTTAGGAGGAATGTTTTTGCAAGACTATAATTTTAAATAATTTATCAGTAAATGCTGATTAAAAAATCAAGTTTAAATTTGAATAAATAAAGATAGTAATTAAATAGTTTATGGGAAATATGCACACACACAAAAAAAACAGTATGTGGAGAATTTATGAAAAATAAGAAAGAAAGATACAGATAATAAGATTTATGAGAAATAAGAGATTCATCGGTAAATTAAAACAAAATAATGCCCCAACAAATATTTAAATATCTGTTGTTCTAATATCTCAAATTTACAAGGTGTAAAGGAACGCCTTATTCGAGCAATTCTAACTCCCTTTTTTTAAATACAAAATAATAATAAGTCAGAATCCCACATTTCTATATTTTAAAACTGATTCACCCTCAGTTTCTTACGGTCTAAAGAGGTATCATCAATGAGACAAGACAGAAAAAAAAACTGTTTTAACGGTGGTACAAATCCATGCGGTTCCTCGGGTTTTAACAACTGATCTCTATAAGGTGGCAGATGCTTATATAAGTGACACAAGCTTCTGTATTAAGTAACGGCATCTTTGATTTCGAAATCCTGCTGTCAAGTTACGCTTATTTGCCTAACGGCAAACGATTTTTCCTCATTGAAAAGAACTTATAAGATAGAGAGTTTCTATTCGCACTAGAAAATATCTATGATATTTTATAACGCATTGAGACGGGGGGAATTTAATGTTTATATCAGTAATACTCGAAGCCTCAATGTATAATTTAAATACTTAATGCAACATTACCGGAACGCTTGATGTGTCGTTTAAAGGCATAATGTAGAATCGGTTGAACACTTGATGCGTAATTTAAATGTTTATATCAGTATTACTCGAAGCCTCAATGTATAATTTAAATACTTAATGCTACATCATTGGAACGCTCGATGCGCAATTTAGACGTTAACTGTGAAATTTATATGTTGCTTTCAAATGTAATTTAAATGTGTAATGCAGAATCACTTGAAAGTAACTTAACCCTTTGTAACTCAACAACTCTGATTTAAGAAATATTTACGCGGATGTTAGAATACATAATATTATGCGTGTAAAAAATAAGGAAAAAATTAAGACCTTAAAATTAAAAATTTTTTGATAAAAAGCATTTGTTGAACATCTCCAATATCGTGAAAAATAGCACAAAAATTCCAATATATTTAAAACTTCATGTGAAAAATTTTGAAATCGTTGCTTTTATGGTAACAAGGTCTCACATCACATTTTTCAATCCCTCCTTAGCCAAATATACAATCAAGGGGATTGTTGTAAAAATATTGTATACCTGCAATTATGTCGTGGAACAATTCTTGCTAAACGCATTATAATATTGGTAGCTACACCAAGACTTGGTTCCCCCGAGTTTGCAATATTTTCTTTACCTGAATTTGGTTCGATTTTATAGGTAAATCCAGCTCATTATAGGATTGAATTTTCATGTATGTTGCAGATACGTAAAGCGGTGATACAAAGGGTTAAGGGCTTAATATACAATTGTTGGAATCCCTGAAAATTTATTTAAATGCGAAATACGCAAACATTTGAGATGTAGTTTAAATGCTTAATGTGGCAATGCTGCAAAGCTTAAAAAGTAAACTAAATGCTAGGAAGGGCATCAAATATTGGGAGTTTTGAAAATTCATATCCTTCTTTTTATCAAGTTGTTCATTAAGAGGCTTTAAAGTTATATATTCTCAATTAATCAAGATTTTTTTTCTTACTTCTAAACCGGCCAGATGTGCAGCTGATGGCTCATCAATTCCCGTGATGTATATTCCCAATCCATATTCAGCTCCACCTCTTATCATAAGACCCAGTGATAATCCATCTTCCACTGATACTATCACCTAAATTTGAAAATATGCATTAAATTAATTGAAAATTTAATGCATAGCAGATATTTATCACACTAAAGCAATTAAAGTAATTAAATAGGAGAAAAAAGTATAATAATTCAATATATAATTAAGACAATATCATAACAATGATTAAATATAAGTCCAGTAAGAATTCACGCAGTATAAACTTTTTGAATAAAATCAAAAACCATAACGAAAAATTTTTAATCTTAGCAAATATTTTTGAAGCATAAAATTTTGCTATAAAAAATGGCTCAAACAAAAGCTATTGTGTTAAAGTTATTTTTATACACAGCGTAATGTAAAAACTGTAAAATACCTTCTATAGAAAAAATAAATTTTTAAAAAAATTAATGCAAACAAAAGAACATGACTTATGAGAGTAGATATGAAAAAATAAACTTTGAAGTACTTGTGTATTAATTTTGGCTGAAAAAAAAAGCTAAAAAAAATTCAAAGAATTCTCTTATTGCTTTTTTTTTGCTTTATAATAATCCTAACAATCATTTTCATTTTTATTCAGTGAGCATTTTATTGTCCTGTGCTTACTTACTTATTATGCTATTAATTTGCATAAATTACTTTTCTATAACTGAAGTTTGTAAAAAAAGGGAATAAGAGATTATTGATAAAATATAAGTAAAAAACAAAAATTATTTTTTTCATTTGATTTATAAGTAGCAAGTAGAGATATTATTATTTTAAAGTAAAATCGAAATAACATAACTAACAGAACAAGTAATAATGGTAATTTTTAAGAGTCATTAAATTATAATTTTAAAAAAAATAATGTTGAGTAAAAAACATTTCAGCTAAAAAGAGCATTTCTGAATATAAACGTTCTATGGATAAAAAAAACAAAAACATTCTGAATAGTTTTGACACCAGAAAATTCTGTATCAGGGTTGGCGATTTGGACGTCCTAAATTGACTGAAATTGTCCTAAACTGTCCTAAAGTTTCCAAAACCTTGAACATTGGTAAAAGGTAAAAATTTTATATCTGTAACTATGGTACACATAATAATTACATATATTAATAAATATTTTATACTTTTTATACAAATTGCTATAACTTATTAAAGGAAAATAATTTAATATAATAGGAAAAGATTTATAATTTTTGAAACCCCACAATTCATTGAACAACTTAAGAGAATATTTTATCTTTTAAATATGAATATATATGCTTTAAATACTGATAAATTAGGTTTTTGCATAAGGATAAATAATGCAATATTAAAAATAATAAACTTCTTTAACAGGGTGCGTAGCCAAATTATTCAACAAAAAATAAGCACCTTTTAAGCACTTTTCAAGCACTCAAAAAATAATTTTAAGCACTTTAAAAAAATATCATAATTTGGCAGGGTTAAAAATTTTCTGACAATTGACGGTTTTATCTTGTTTAAACCGTCATGTCCAAAAAAACTTTTGGCATCGTTTTTGACAATTGTCAAAAATCATGAAATTTTGAATCATGCAAACGAATGGCGTTGTCATACGCTACGGACTGACAATGCGCCGAAATAGATTGGGTTTGAGAGAATTGTGAAAACGTTGAATAGGAACAAAGTGAACTGCGCATTTTTGCATAATTCGAAGCGAAAATCAACATGGTAAAGAAAAAATCTCATTTTGAAAGAGAGAACATCAAGCACTTTTTAAAAACACCCAATGAAAAAAGCACCTTTAAGGGCTTTAAAAACGAAAATTGAAACTAAGCACCTTTAAGCACTTTTTAAAAACGCTACGCACCCTGTTTAATAAATCAAAAAAAATTTGCCTTCATTTTGCTTCTTGTTCAAAAATTAACCTTTTATTTTTCAAAATATATTTTTTTAAAAATTATGACATAATTTGAATAAAAGGGTTTTGGACAGTTTAAGGCAGTTTTAGGCAAAGGGGTTTTGGACAGGGTTGTTTAAACCCTGGTTCAAACCGTGGATTAATCCATTCTGTCCTAAACCTTGCCAACTCCGTTCTATATAAATGTAAATTCACGACAGACTTAACAAGGGAGAATTCCTTGCAATTAAACTTTAACAGAGATAAGGAATTTAAAAAATAAATTAAAAATTAAGAGACCTAGAAGAATCGACGAGGATACTCCTGCCTGACACAGTATTTTCAAAGTTTTTATACAAAAATTTTGAATAACAGAATAACATAACAGGTGATATCAAAGAAACAGTAGTTAGACCATCCAAGTACAAGTACTAATCTAAAACAGGATAAGAATTACGACTAGTAGTTTGATTTTTTAAAAAATCATTTAGACTTATAATAATATTGTGAGAAAAAAATTAAAATGTTTAGAAGAGGTTTTTTTTTTCTTTTTCCTTTTTTTTTTTCTTTTTTGAAAAATGTGATTGTAATCTATGTCAAGTTATTAACACTAGGTTTACGGGAAGCGTCATTTTGAGGCATTTCGAATTTTATAAGGAAAATTACAAAACCAGTTTGCATTTTTATTTTATCTCTTTTAATGACTTTTATTCATTGATCGAGGTAAATATATATTGAAGTCTATTTTCCTCAAAAGCGTTAAAATATTGAAATTGTGGTGTACCTATCTCTACGGATATGAGTCAATTTGACGCAATCGCAATTTAGACAAAATTTTGAGTAAACATGCTAGCATCACATCAATAATAAATAGGAATGTACCGACAATACTTCGATCCGTTATCCGATATCGTTATCTCAAACGAAACAAGAGATAAACAACTGCTGCCGATAAGCAATAATAGAAAGATCAAACGCAGAATGACAATTGATGTCAGAGCGTCAGATTTTGAAGGTTTCGGTTGCTTAGTTCGAGTATTGAAAAATAAAATACTAGAATATTTCATAAATATATATCTCATATTTTCCTTTTTTTTTCTTATAGTATATAATTACATTGCTTTCTAAGTGCAGAGATGCCAACTGCTCCGGACATACCAAAATATTTTTTAAAAAAACGGTAAGTAACTAAGTAAATTTTGAAAATATAAAGTGGTGAATTATATAAGCTTATGAATTATTTAGAAATAGTGGTGGATAAAAATCTACTAAATTGAATTTACTAAACCCCGAATCACAATTAATAAACTACCACTTTAAAATATATATTTGATGTCTGGAGCAAGTTGGCATCTCTGTAAGTGCTGTTATATGTATTCGTTCATGCGTCAAATTTAAGCGTGTTCGTAGAGATAGGTATATAAGAAACGTCCGTAAACCTAGTGTTAATAATCTCGTGAAGAACAAAATTATAAAATGAAAAAATAAATTTGTCATTAACTATCCATTTTTGAAATTGTGAGCTCTCAATCAGTTAAGTCATATGTAACAATGATTTCAAAGAGAAAAAAAATCTGAAATTAAGCTATTAAAAACTAAAGAACGGCAGCTTCCCGTAAAGTCAGAACTGATTGAAGCACTACTTTTTGTCTAATCATTCAATGTACGGTGACTGGGTTACCACTGACCCACACAAAAATTAAGTAAACGATAAAGAAATTTGTTTCTAAAATGATAATTCCGAGCAAAAAAGTAAGTTTTATCAACTATTTAATATTTTTTAATTATTTAATTTAATAATAGTCGGTAAAATTTTGAATTACAGAGCATACAATCTTTAAATCGTTTTAAAGAACGTAATTTTACATGGCAAAATGCAAAATAGATGGAATAGTTCCAGAGAAATTGAGCTTTAAATAACAATTCAAAATTTTCCCGAGTGTTATTAAATAAAATAATAAAGAATATTAAATATTTATTAATTTCAATTCGTTTAAAAATTTCGAAATACATAAAAAAGGGGTCCGAAGTTTTGACCGCTCTCCTGACAGAAATATGGAGATCATGTTTCCCAGATTGTGACAACTCCCTGTAGTTTGGAGAACAGAAGTCCATCGAAAAAAATGTATATTTAATCAGAGAAAGTAGTTTTTTTTAGTCTGATTTCGTAACTTAAAATATCGCCTGCGTTAATAAAATAGAATATTTGAGGTCACTCCTTCGAACGATTGAGTCCTAGAACGTGAAGATCCGATCAATAAATCAAAATTAATTTAGGGAGATTCGTTTATATTTTTGCTCACTGTACACCTCTCATTTTTATTCACAAACTTACGACATATATTTTTCAATAATTATTTTAAAATTAAAGTAATAAAGTAATTTTGCTACCAAGCATTAAGTTATGCATTGATACGATATTACTCAAAATATTATTAAAAAATCAACACCTTTTTTTTATCTTTAATTCATAACTTCGGGTTCCAGTATATTTAAAGAAAATAATATTAAGAACCATGAAATAGTGTTTATTCAATAGATAAACAAAGACAATACATTAAAATACCGAAACTAAGTCAAGATTTTACATTAGAGGGCTAACAGCTCTAAAATACGAATTTGCCAATATTCATTACTTCATTTATCTTTCAAAACATAAATATTACTCATCTATCTTTATATCCCTAAGGGCAGTGATGACACGAATTATTTATCCAGGGGTGATTGTGAGCTCAACTCAAAAATCCTGAAAATTTCACGAGTAAAATCATTAATGACACATATCAAAAAATTAATGTCTTCATAAATTTAAATCATTGATATTTTAAAAACATGAAATTCTAAATAAATTAAATGCATCATAATTTAAATGAATAATTATGTATAAGTTTACTTTTATGTCTAATCACATTCATTATTCTAAAAGAAAATATATTTACAAATGAAAGAGATGCCAAGTATAAATTCTAGTTCGAATATTTTTAATTAAAATATACAAGAATTTTTAGACATAATTGTGATCAATGATTTCTTGAAACTTCTAGACCCTGGATTTCCGGAAACTTCTGGATCGGAATAAGTGAAAATTCCGGAAATCTGGATTTTTTCCGGAGCGCAATCATCTCTGTTTATCAAAAGAATTTTTAAATTTTCCACCGCGGGTGGTCTAAAATTAGACCTTCATGGCTTGGAATAATTCTTG